GACAAATGGATCCCGTCCTATGTTGATCTACCGATCACGGGTCCATACCCTTTCAGGGCAACGGCCTTCGATCTGATGCCAAAGCTGGCGTACCACGCCACATACTGGCGAAATTTCATGAAGATCGTCAACACAGGCCTCATCCCGGGAGGGAAAATGACCTCGAAGGGCAACAGCGGGAGGCCCTTCAACATGTTCGCGATGGAGCCTCAGTGGGAACGCACCTCCAATCAGGGCGTCCGCCCTGGCGCCCAGCTGGAATTTGTGATAGACTTACAGCTCGCCGCATGCGATGGCTGTCGGTTTTTCGAGACAAAAGCTGGAGCGCTGCAGACGCCGGATTGGATCAGCAACCGGGCCATTCTGTATGCATATGACCGGTCGACTCAGGAAATGATCTGGGCGAACCGAGCATACGAACCAGCGCGGAAGGGCTTGGCCCAGCCGTGCAAAGACAAGAGCCTCAACACGCCCATTTATGGCGAGCGGGGTCACCAGGAGCTGGTCGATGCAAACGGCTATTGCTACAACTACCTCGTGGCAGGCCTCGGGTATCGCAACTTCGACACCTGGAAGGACGCCGCTAAGGCATGCAAGGATGTCTATGACCTTGATTTCTACCCAACAAGCATGTGTGGTCTAGACATTCGCATCCCGGAAGGGCATGCCTTGCAGGGCTCAGAGTCATTGTACAAAATGGTGGTTCACGTGGCTCCAAAGCATCCTCATCAAAAATGCAACGATGAGTCGGATTGGCGTCGCCAGGAGAATGTCAGCATTCCTTCTTTCGCTTGCCCGAGCTGCGGTACATCCAACGTCGATGGTGCAATCTGTTGTTATCGATGTGAGTCTCGATTGGAACCGCACTCAGATGTGAGCATGGCCTTGGAGAACACCCGTGCCAAGCAAGTTGCCGCCCGGAAGGGTGAGCCCCTGGATTACAGGGCATTGCAACCAAGCGGGGAGGTCAACTCCAATCGTGCCACGGGCAACAAGAGGGATCGGAGTGCTGGCTCTGGCCCAGCAGCTGTTCGTCAGCAGGCCGCCAAGTACCTTGGAAAGGCCTTGAAGGCGGGTTCTCGCACTGTTGTTGAGCGTCAGTCTCGTGATCCGTTCACGGCCTACAACAATGCAAGATTTGGCATATCCATTACGGGGCTGGAGCAACTCATGATTTTCGCCCGAATGAGGATCGCCAACCCGCCGAGGTCCTGCCAGATGATCCATGACCGCACTGGCTTTGACGGCGCAGCCAAGGTGAGCTTCTCATTCCCACCGGAAGGTGAGGACCTGACACTTACGGACCACTGCTTTGTGGCGTTCGTGGACAGGTTCTACAAGCTTGACGAAGCCGCCTTGTTAGCGTTTGCCGTCCATCGCAACGGCTACGTCATGGACATCCTCGGCTTTAGCGGTCGCACATTGAAGCCGACCGGTCCAGTGGTGCAGATCTTGGCTAGGATTGTGGGATTCTTCCAAGATGAGGTACGGTATGCAGTTGAGCGCGGCGAACAAGTGCCTGAGTTGGTTTTGCCTGCCAATCAGGAACTCCGCGTCCCGGAAGGGCTCGCCTCTCTTGGGGATAGACAGCTGAACGAGCTTCTCATCAACACGAAGTTCGCGAGACAGCTTCCCGGCGCCAAGGGCGTCAATGAGAGGATCGGGTATGCCTTCAGAGAAGGGAGGACGGAGATGAGAGGCAGATCAGCTCAGCCACCGATTCCAAAGGCGAGGCCAACAACCAGAGCTACCGGCAGTGCACAGCGGTTCCTCCAAAGCCACGAGCACGCCCTCTTGACCCTTCCCCGGGAGTGGCAGCTACCCGCCTGCGGCCAACAGAGCCCAGCTATCCGCCACCCGGAAGGGATGTGCCAGGATCGTCAACGGATGCGCCGATGCGTCCGCCCGAGCCAAAGGGGCCTCCACCAACGATCTTGGTTGTCGATTCAAGGGGGAACCCTATTGACCCATCGCAGCCTCGCCGACCTTACTTCACCCGGCATGATGCGCTGCTTTGGGCTCGCCTCAAGGCGTCTCGGGACAAGAACGTTCCCAGAGGCATGGAAGATCGTGCAGTACCAGCATTTCATGATTTGAACGACTTCCACCTCCTGGCACCGGAGCACGTGGGCTACTTTCTCTCTGGCTGGAAAGAGACCCAAAACGGGATCCGCCTGTACTGACTGCCGCGTCTTGTGCAGTACAGTAGCAGCTAATTAGTATTTTCGGTTCGTTGTGTTGTCTTCTCCACCCTGACGGGTCGGACATGTAAGAGTAGTTTATCTGCTCCATGTCCATTGTTCTGCCTCCCTGACGGGACGGCCTATGTAAAGGGCCGGAACTGATGGGACATGGCACGTCAGGAGTGTTGAGATCTCTCTAAGAGCTTCGTTGCACCTAAGGTGTAAAATCAGCCTTCTTTTGCATTCGCAACATGTTGGTAGCATACTGTACTTCTACTTTCGCCTCTCTTCGCTGCCCTAAGAGGCGCGGGGGGTGTTTTATTGCTCTTTGTACGTATGACTACGGACATATTGTTGCTTGGCTCAAGACAAAAAGCGTGTGTGCGATTCGTGCTATCGTGCACTATCTATAAACAGTAAGCCTAGTTACTAAGTCCCATGATCCTTTAAGTAGGGCGCAGGTTCTAGGTTCCATGTTCAGGGTCTAGCCGTTTTCAAAGGAGAAAAGGAGGGACCCTTAATGGGGACCCCTACCCTATAATGGGCTATATAATGGGTATATAATGGCTATATTAAGGGTATAGTACCTAGGGGTCCTTATTAAGGGTCCCTCCTGTTCCCCTTACTCTTTAGGGAGCAGAGTAGCGACGAAGACCACACTTGGAGGGTCGGGGGACCAAGTAGGTAGTAAGTAGACTTATAAGTACCCTAAAAGGGAGCCGTAATTGGGGTTATGGTACTTATAAGTCCCTAAAAAAACCAGTTACTAAGTCCCCCGACCCTCCAAGTACCCTAAACCCTAAACCCTATACTCTTATAGAATCCCTATAGATCCCTTTAAAGGAACCCTAAAGGAACCCCTAAGTTCAGTATCGTTTAGGGAGCAGAGCAGCGACGAATGCCACAGTGACGACGCCTCAACCTGAGGAGACGGAGCACGACGCGAATTTGTTGCAGCTCTTGTTCGAGACACCCACGAAGTCGGGGGTCCCAGCTGTCTCAAACAGATATCTGGGTTTGATGGTTTCTTGTATGAGAGTACGGCACCTAATATTTAAGGTACCCAAAAAGGGACCAGTAAGGTAAACCCTGAAGCCTAATCCGTATAAGGGTGGTTATCAAAATTATGGCCCTTTTTTGGGTACCCGACATAATAGGTGCCGTATTATAATAAGGACCCCAAAAAGGGACCATCATTTTGACAACCACCCATCTGGCCTTGATGATTTCTTGCAACTCTGAAAAATGGGCAGATATGTGAGGGGTTCCCTAAATCCATAAACATTCCTAAACCCTAAACGTAGGCCCCAAATCCTGAATTGAGATGCCTGCTGTTCTGCTTACTACAAAGGCCAAGAAGTTCTTGATGCTGCCTTTGGGAATGGCTGTGAGCTCTTGAAGAGGTTTGGGTTTGGTGGGTGGGTTGGGGTTTAGGGTTTAGGGCTAGGTGTGGATGGATAACTATATCGGAGGGTTTTCGAATCCTGAAGATGTTGTTTTAGGGTCAAGGGCCAAGCCTTGACACGTGAGGCCAAAGCATTGAATGCCGAAACTAACCCTAAATCCTAGCCCTAGGTGCAGCATGCCACGGACAATCTGCATCATGGCCAAGCTATAATTGGGGTCCAGAGCTCCAGTTAAATATAGGGCTTAGGTTCATCATTCACTGTAAACTACCACAAGTCCTTGAAGCTGGGGGTCCGGCTGCGTTGCAAGACGCACCGGTGGCCAACGCGGCAATGCATGCGGACAACGCGTTGGCAGAGATGCTTCATGGAGGTTTCCGCAGAGGAGCTCTGCGCCGAGCACTCCTTGCACAGCGCTTCAACAGCTAGTGTACATCGTGAGTCTGTTCCGCGACTGATCACGCTGTGACATCTGCAGCGTCTGTAATGAGATCTGCGGGGTTTAATGATGCTTGTCCATACACCTGCCAACAGTGGATCTTCCTGTGTTCATTCGGTCGTGGAGTACTACAGCAGGGGTTAGTCATTACCTATACTATCTTGGGGGTTCCTTATTGTAACTATAGTATACTTGACCCCAAAACCCTATTCTAATTGTTAAGGCCCCTGTATTTCTCTGGGGCTGCTTTCGCAACGCCCACAGCCCTGAGACCTCCAACTCATCATTCCTGAAGCCGCCAGGGAACCCACACCCTACAGAAAGCTGGAACATGGATCTAGGCTGGGATTCCCCATACTTTACCTTACCGGCACGAGGCTAGTGATATTCCAACTTTCTTGTCTTCTGCTTTAGACCTGAACTCGACACCTTTTGACTTTCTTCCCCTACTCCCCAACAACCGTAGGCCCTAGAGCCCCCATGCGCAGGCTGCGATACATCATCATTGAGGCCTTCGCTGCCTTCCGGCAAGCATCCGCAGGCCTCTTCCTTTCTGAGAGCTGGGGGGTGTGTGCGTGTTGGGTTTGAGGTTTTTGCGGTAACAGTTCCGGCGTACCGGGGTTCAGAGCTGTACGGATTTGGGTTGAGGGGTGCGGCGTATCGTGGGCTTACATCTTGAGAGTTTCCGCGCCTAGATGTTGAGGTGTCGGTCTGTCTGCGCTGGGGTAGGTTGGGACAATGGCCAGCGCATACAGCAAACCCTCAAACCTAGTCCACGTAGCATGCTCCCTGCTTCTTGCCTTTTGTTGCTTCAGGCCCTCGCTTGTGTCAGGTCAGATTGATACTTATTGACATCTCAATTGAATAAGGGTTGGGCCGCGGTTTTCTTCGGGGAAGTTTGTAGCTTGCGAGATGCGTGCCCACAGCGTGATTTTGTGCTAGACTGCAAGGGCAAACCGCTTGGTTATTCTGGCATGCTGGCACAGTTCCGGCGCTGCCTCGTTGTGTATGCTGGCCTGTCACCCAGCGTGGCAAGTCGGTTCACCTTGCACTCGCTAAAGACCACGCTCCTGGCCTGGTCATCACAGGTCGAGGTACCGGAGGTGCTCCGGGAGGCACAGGGGCATCACAGATCGGCAACCGTCTCTGCCTGTGTGAAGCGTTACTCTCGTGATGACATCAATCCTCAACTAAGTTGCCAGCGCAAGGTGGTCGCCAAACTGCGCGATGGTTGGCGCCCTTATGTGCCTGTGGACCGAGGCCTCGGCCGTGTGGATGCCGCGGTGTTTGAAGCGCACGTGCCCGCGCTTCCGCGAGTGGGACAGGATGCAGAGCCTGGCGAGCTGCCTTCCGACACAGAGGCGGAGTCGGATGCCGAAGTTGCCGCCGCCCCCGCAAGTGATTCTGAGCATGGGGAGTTCGAGAGCGACTCTGATGCTAGCGTGGCTAGCGCGGCCCCTAGCCTCGCAGATCTGGCTGACTTGGAAGGCAGCTGGCTTCTGAATACAGTTTCCGGCTGCGCTCATAAGTCCGTGTGGTGCAGCGAGCTTGAGTCATGGGTCCTGGCGTGTCGGCCGAGTTTACAGCTTGGAAAGCAGTATGAGCACTGGACGTGCAACCCATGCTTTCATGGTTTCAAGTCATGCGGCCATTCGGGCTGTTGGAGTTCGTGCTGAGGCAGCCCAAGCGCTTATTTTATTATAAAGTGACGCTCTGCCCTTTGGGGGCCGGTCACTTCGCAGGGGCTTTGGGCCTTTATGCTTTGCTTGTGGTACAGTTGTTTGTGTTGCTGCGCGCAGCCCTTTGGGGGCCTGTCATGTCGCAGGGGCTTTGGGCCTTTCTGCTGCGTTTTCTTGTTTGAGCTTTGGGCTCTTGTCGGTGATCGGTATCTCAGCAGGGGCTTTGGGCCTTGCTGCTTTCCTATTCTCGCAGGAGATGCAGGCATTTGTCACTACCCATGGCCTTGTTCGGCGGTCCAGCATCTGCGTGCTTTGGCTCGCTAGTCAGTGTGTGCGTACATCCGCTCTGCGTTGTTCCCTTGCTTGCTTTGCGCTCTTTGTCATGCCTGCGAGCAGTGCAGCCTCGTGGCGTACCACCATGTTGCAAGCCGGGGTGCAGGAGTCTACTGCTGATGCAATTATCCGGCTTGGCTATGACGAGGAGGGCTTGTTCCGTGCAGCTTTTGTTGATCAGAATGCCTTTGAGGGTTGGCTGAACAAGCTGCGTCACAAACTTGGCGATGCAGATTTGACTGCGCTCAGCGATGAGGATTGGGGCACTCACCCTCATGCTGCCCGCCTGCGTTTGTTATGGCAGTCCGGGCTGCCCGCACAGCAGCCGCCTTCTGCTTCGGCTACACCGGCTGCATTGGCTTTGGTCCCTGCCGGTTCCATTCCAGGGGCAGGAACTACTGGGAAGAACCGGTGGCTTGTAAATGGTTAACATACTCTACGAGGTTAGCTATCTGTTTACAAACAAATGTAAAGGGTTAAGTTGGTTTAGCTATAGGGGTTAGCATAGCTTAGAAAAGGGGGTTAGTCTAAGTAACATAAAGGGGTCCCTTATACGTCTAAACCTTCCAAGCCCTGAACATAAAAGCCTCAAACCCTAAACCCGAACCCTGCAAAACAGAAGTCTTTTTTTGCATGCCGGTCGTTCACGGTCTTCCGGCTGGAGAAACTCGTTTAAGGCCGTAGCCTGAGAACGGCTGCATTTCAGCAGATATATAATATACATGGGATGCCGTAGCCTTCTGCATCCCATTCTGCATGCCTGCAGCAAAAGGGGCCGTAGCCTGGAAGAAAGCTTGCTTTCAGCTTGCTGAGTTTTCAGACTCCTCTTCCTCATGCTCCTCTTCCTCAGCCACTTCCTGCTGGGAATTCCAGTTGTCTTCATACTCTGGAGAGGACTGCTCGGTCACGGTAGGGAGAGCATGCTCGTCCCCGGACTCCACGATATTCATATATTCGTACTCCCTCCATGCCCTTCTGTAGTTGCTGCGACGGACATCCCTCTCGTTGTACCACTTGATTGTGCATTTTGCACACCAGTGGTTCAGGTGTGCATTTTTCACTCTGCAGCAGCTGGGGTCACCGCATTCCGTGCATGGTCCTGCACACGGGTCCATCCTCAAACGGCGGCTGCAGGCTCCTCCCATTTCAAACTGCACGTGTGCAGGAGCTTATAAGGATGGCCTTGGCCGCGATGCACTCGCAGTCTGTTTTTAGAGTTCGCAGCACCTTTGGCCTTGGCCGGATATCACAGCAATCGCCCGAAGACAGGCGAACGGCAAGCTCTATAAAAAATATTATAGCATTTGAGCCACATGGCGGCAGCAGATTTCAGACATGATATAAGGCACATGACGACCCCCCATACATGCCCGATGACCCAGTGAAAACCCTTCGCATGCCTCTGTTTCCTTGCGATGCACTCGTGTGTCAGCAGCTACTTTGCTGCATGGTATATAATGATCTATCTGTGCAGCATGCTAACCGATTTTCGGTGCAGTGCTCATGTGTGCATACACACATAGAAGCAACAAGTTGGTTGGCATCGCTTTCGAGCCCTGCACAGCTGGCTTAGCAGCCGTTCTTCTTCTTCCACAGCAGAATGGCCTCTCTGTGGGCCTCTCGCTGGCACTCTACCACTTGCTGCTCCGAGAAGCCTTGCTGCTTTGCCCACGTTCCGGCTCGCTTGTACATGCGAGAAGCATAGTTCTTCTGGATGCAGCCGTCCTCCCAGACAATTTGGAACTTCCGCTTTCCATGCGAGCCTTGGGCTTGCTGCTCCTTTGCTTTGCCTTGGCCTTTCTTCGAAGCACTCTTGTCCTTGGACTTTCCTTTGCCTTTGCCGCTGCCCTTCTTCTTTGGATCTTGGCCTTGGCCATTCGTTTTTGTCTTGTTCTTTGCCAAGTTTCCTTGGCCACTCGCTGCAGCTGCAGCGGCCGGCTTCTTCAGAATCCCAGCTTTGCGATCTTTGAGCTTCTTGAACAAAGCTTCGTCCTCGAGATCGTTCTCGGCAGGGAGCGACTCCGTTGCTTCGGGTTCTTCGGCTGGAGGCAGGGCTAGCTGCAAGGCCGACTGTCGCCCTGGCGAGGTCTGCTGTGTCGCAGCCGAAACCGGCTGGGCTGGGTTGCCCAGAGCAAAGCCGACCCCGGCACTGCTGCTGCTCAGCTCGCCTCCTGTGATGGAGTTCCGTCCAGGGGTCCTGCAGCAGGTATACAAATGGAAAGGCATGCATGGGCTGTGTATACAGATGCAAAACAAAGGAAAAGATAAAAGAAGCATGCAGTCCTCCTTTGCAAGATACTTGCGCCTGCAGCAAGCTGCAGCTCCCTTCGCCCACCATCCTGGATGGCATTCTGACCGCAGGTCTGGTCCAGCATTCTTTCCAGTCGCCCGAAGCACTGCTCCATGCGGCTCTGGAACTCGTTCGCATGCTGCTCAGACACGGCGGCCTGGCCATCTGGCCTCGGCAGCCTCTGCTTCTTGTTCTTCTGCAAGAGCTTGGAAGTAGATCGCATCGGAATGTGAGCTAGCCAGATCCCAGCCCTCACGTCTTTGCCCATGGGCGGGTCCTCAGCCTTGTAGGCTCGGTCGAACAGAGCCTTCGGCAAGCTGCTGGGGTCATCGGGATACGTGAGCAGGCCGACCTCAGTCGGCTCTGCATCCGTTTTCACGGATTCCCAAGATCTCTTGAAGACCTGGACCTCTTCGTAGATCTCTTCATATGTCGGCATCTGACTGAGCTCGCCGGCTGCCAGTGCCAAGAGGAAGGCCAGGCCTTTCTTGACCGTCTGTTCTGTGAGGTTCCTCAGGCCCAGCTGCAGATACCTTTTCAGAAGGATTTCCAGCCTTGCCGGTGCTGGCGACTTTTCCAGCATAGACCACTCAGTGACCGTGATGAAGTTTTCCGGCTTCAGCAAGGTCTGCGGCTTGCTTTCCTCCTTTCGCTTGTGAGGCGTATATGTAGTATCTGGCGGCGGTGTTGCAGCCGTGGCCGTTGCCAGAACTTTGGCTTCAACTTTTTCAAGCAACCGTTCTGACAGGGTGCTCTCGAAGCTCAGATCCTGGATCGTCTGCTTCATCTGCATGGCTTGCCCTAACGACAGAGAGCCAAGGCTCTCCAGCCGGGTGCACCAGCTGTTCATCAAAGCATCGACCGAAGCCTTGCTCCCACTTTGTGCCCACTCGGCCATAGGGCTTAACTCGGCCTGCAACTCTCGGGCCATCTCGCCGTGGCGAGATATATATAGCCGTGGCCAGAAAAGGAGAATCCAGAAGCCCCCTCTATAGGAGCCAAGATGCTACAACCCCACTACAGGAGCCAAAATGGCAGCTGCATGCACATCCATGGAAAAAGAGCATGGTACAGGTCGCCTGCATGTGTGTGTACGTGCAGATTCCCAAAATCCAGGATGCATGCAGGATCAATCTTTTTCATCGGAGGGAAGCAGGCAGGATGATTTGTCGTCGGCCTCCGGCCATGTCTCTCCATGTGCATGCACACAGAAAGTCTCTGCATGGCAGCAGATGCAGGCTGTCTATGCAGGAGCACTCCCCCACGAGGTCATCGCAAAGCAGAGAAGAAATGGAATGCACAACACTGTAGGCTTGCCCTGCCAGTTCCACGAATGCCCAGACAAGGGCACACTCCAAGCAACCGTTCCCTTCAAGCAGCACCGCATCGCCACGACATATCCGTTCCCCGGAGGGCAGCCTGACTTTTTCTGCCACATGAATCACTTGTGCCGAGGTCAGCTCCGGAATGATTTTGCGAAGTGCTGCCGCCTTCCTCCGAGAAGCTGGCTTCGGGTCCTGCAACTGCAGCATCGCTGCGAAACAATCAGCTCTTGCCAAGCAATATAGTTCTTGTCCAAGAACTTCTCGGAGAAGACCCTGCTCGTAAGCAGAAGTCTTCTTGATGTCCTCGGCGAATCTCTTGATAGTGCGATGCTTTCTTTCGTGAGTGTAGCACTGAACCATGAAACCCCACTTTTCCAGGTGCGAACCGAAGTGGAGAAGCCAATGGAACTTGGAATGCATGCGGTCCTGCCACTCAGCAGCATGCACTGCTTGCAAGAAATCGGAAACGTGCTTTCTCATCTGGCCGGGCGAAACCGCTCCCTCACTGCGAGCTCTCTGGCAGCATGCCACGAGTTTGTCCAGCTGCAAGAAACATTGGATCGCTTGCACTGCCTCAACATTTGCATTTGCCCTGGCGAGCTGCCTGAAGAAACAAGCCAATATTGGAGACAGTGTCAAGCCTTCGGAGGCCGTGCATTTAAAGGTCTCGGCTTCCTTGCATGCTTTTGCTCGGGACTGACCCAGCATCCCTTCGGCCTTGGCCGAGATGTTCCGGGGCAGGGTCCACTTGGCCACGTACTCGTCGGCGATTTCCCAGAGATTGGGAAACTGCTTCTGCAAAGCTTCCAAAACAAGCCAGGTCACTGTCTGGAAGACACCGGAGACCAGCAGGGTGTGCATGCTGTCGTGGCAATACTGTGAGACCGGCCGGACCAGCCATCGTTGATCCTCTTGTTGCAGCAGGGAACAACTATTATAAGTCCAGCCGGTGGCTTGCTGCCACGTGCTGAAATCTGCAGCATTCAGAAGCATCTTCTTCTCTGCCAGTTTAGCCATGGCCTCGTGGATGGATTGGTCGGTCGCAAGCGAAAGCTTACTTTCTCGGATCTCAGAGGAACCGACCACGGGGAGCCCGCTGCTGTGCAGGATATCACATCGTTGTGCTATTACATTCCTGCACAGCATGCACATGCGGGTGCCAGCATCCCCCTTGCAGCTCCATAGAGCTTTATGGGCACCACCGTCTTGAACGATCATTGACAAAACCACCCGGAAGAGGACGGGCGGACCTCCTGGTCGCTGCAACGATATGCACCCGTGCTCCAAATGGTTGGCCGGCCGCATGAATATGTCTCGCAGGATTTTCGAGATCCATTGAGAGACACCTGCTTCGGCCTTGGCCATCAGGCTGGATCGGAGCAGTCCTATGCATAGCCACGACTCCTCGTGCTGCAATGCATAGCTTCCAAGTTCTACGAACGAGGCATAGCAAGCCCAGATTTTTCTCTTCGTCTGGACTGCCAAAGGATTACCCGGCACGATCTCGTCCGTATAGAGGATCAGCCGCCATGCCGAGCTGGGGCTCGGAGGATTCTTGTCGATGCACGCCCAAAAATATTGGGCGAAGTTGCTGTCGGCATCCGAGATAGCAGCTTGCAGCAGAGCCCAAAAATCGACACTGGGTATCTGCAGCTCTGCACCATCTGTCTGCAAAAGTGACAGACGATTGAGGATCCTATTCTCTTTCAGGGGTTGCCAGGCAGCCTCGGCTATATGTTTTCTTTGTGTGAGTTCCGGGACACCCTCGTCCCGCAGAACTTTGCAAACTTCGGACAAAGCCGAGGCTGTGAGATGGGGCAATTTCATTCTCAGAGCATTCACCTTCTGAAGCTTCGCTGGTCTTTCAGCAAAAGCATCGGTGCTGCTGGAGGCCATGGCCCTATATCACCACGGCACCGCACCAACAGCAAATGCCGGAACATCTCCGTGGAGAGTTCCTTCTTCTCCCTGTGCCTGCAGCAGCAAGCAGCCACATACACGCCTCCGTGGAGGCTTCCACACGCCTCCGTGGAGGCTCCCACACGCCTCCGTGGAGGCTTCCACACGCCTCCGTGGAGGCTTCTCGCATCCTTGGATGCTGGGTCTCCATGGCAACAACAAACCAAGCTACAGGACGGGTGACACAACAAATGGCCCCAGGAAGGGGTGCCTGTCTGCGAACACAACTGCACCAAACCTTGTCTGTGCTCGACTCTGGGCATCTGTATGCATGCTGCACGGCTGCTTGGGCCCTGCTTTCCGCTGCTCAGAGAACACATTTCGGCAGGCCCACAAAACCCTCAAAATATGATATGGAAAAAACTATATCATATGAAAACAAAGTCAATCATATGATATAGTAGAAACTATATCATATGAGGCCAAAATATTACATATGATATAGAAAAAACTATATCATATGATATCTGGCCCCACAGACTCATATGATATAGTAGAAACTATATCATATGGCAAGCGATGCCATCATATGATATAGAATATGCTATATCATATGGTTTCCTTTCAATATATATGATATAGAAAAAACTATATCATATTTTCTACGTTTGAATAAGGTTCCAATCTTAAGGATAACCGAAAATTATTCTTAAAAAAAAAACCCCTAAACCCTAAACCCTAGAAGAGAAAAAAGCGCGGAGACACTCTTTTTTTCACCAGACGGCAGCCGGCACTCTGGTTTTTCGGAAGACGGCAGGCGGCTGCCGAGCTAGTACCGCTGCCGAAGCTCCTGGCAGGCGATTTGGAAAAGGCTCGTCACCACTTTCCCGTAGGAGCTCCCAGACCCTCCTTCCGGATCGTCCGGGTCCTTCTTGTCCGGCATTGGGACGTGATCATCGTCCCGTACCGGCGACTCCTGTCGCTTACGTTTGGCCTTAGCCTTGCTGCCCTTAGCCTTGCTGCCCTTCTTCTTGTCCTGGCCGGTCTTGCCAGCCTTAGCTGGCAAACTCCTGGGCAAAAGCTTCACCGGCTTTCGATCCTCTTTGTCATCCTCGGGCTCAATCAGGGAGATTGTCTCTCCTGCCCCCGGCTTTTTTCTCTTCTTCGTGCCCTTAGCCTGCTCAGGACGGCCCTTCTCAGCTTCGGTATGGGCCTTGGCCCCCGAGGGGCCGGAGCCGCCTCTCACATCACCATAGCCATATCCCTGGCCCTTGTCGCCATATCCCTGGCCCTTGTCGCCATATCCATGGCCCTTGTTGCCGGAATCCCGCCGCAGCTCCCACTTTGGGACTTCGGATTCCTCTTCGCTCTCCTCTTCCCTCCCGGGCTGCCAGTGCTCCTGGAACCGGCGCTTTGCCCGGCCTGCAGCAGCCTCCTTGCTGAGCCCTTCGGCTATGTATTTCCAAGTTCGGTGAAACACCGACAATCGGTGCTGGCGACGAGGCGGCCGCATGCTCCTGTATCCACCTCCAGCAAATGGGGCACTTTTTGGACGGGCCCTTGGGCCCGTCCGAAGGCTTGTTGTCCTTCTTCTCATCTGCTGCCTTCTCATTTGCCCCCTTCAATTTTTCATCCACCTCCTTGTCCTTTTTCTCTGATCTCTCTCGTTCGCTTTTCTTTTCATCCTTCTCCTTCTCTTTTTTATCCTTCTTTCCCTTTTTTTTATCCTTCTTTTCCTTTCTGGCCTGCTCTTCTTCTGCCCAGGACTGGAGAGCTGCCTGGGATGCCGCGACCCTGGCTGTTGCAAGCTTTCTCTCCAGCCTCTGCCTGCCGGCGGCACTTATCGGCCAATCAGCAGTCTTCTCATCCAGAGAAGGGACTCTGGGCTTCGAGGCCGCAGCCTCCGAGGCCGCCTCCTTTGGCTTCGAGGCCGTAGCCTCCTCCGGCTCCTCCTCCGGATCCTTTTCTTTGTCCTCGGACTCAGTTGCCTCCTCGGAGGCCACAGTTTCCTCCTCAAAGTTCTCCTCCTCCTCTTTCTTGTTCTCGTTCTCCTCTGGCTTTTTGTTGCCATCCTCCTCCTTTTTCTTTTGGTCCTCGGACTCTTCGTGAGATCTCGACCGTAGTCGAGGATCTCGTCGTTCTTCTCTATCCTCTGAGCTCGAGCTCCTCCTCCTTCTATCCTGGTCCCGGTGCTTGGGCATGGCCGACGACTTCGCCTGGCCAGGACAAAAAAAGGGTTTATAGAGGATCGGGGAGGGTATAGGGTTTAGGGAAGATCCCTTAAGCCAGACTCTTTTTAGCACATGTATATATATATATATACATATAGTATTTGGTGCATGCCGTGGCATGCACCCACGAGGAAACCGTGGTCTCCTCTCCCAAAGCAAAGCAAACCGTGGTCTGCTTGCTTTGCATGCTTGCCAGCAGATGCAAACAAACCTTGGTCTGCCTGCATTCTGCCGGCCAGCACGGTTGCCGAAAAGCAACCCATGCATGCATCACTGACTAAGCAAACCGTAGTCTGCTAGCCAGCTCTGCAGGAGACCGTGGTCTCCTCTCACAGACAGATGGCAAACCGTGGTCCACCACAATTATAAGGAGACCGTAGTCTCCCGGCTTTGTCCAGGAAACCGCAGTCTCCCGGGCTGCCTATAGTCTATAGTTACATATCTATATCTGTATATATGTTTCGTTTGAAAGAAACTTAAAAGGATCCCTTGCCTGGCCTCGTAAAAAAGGCCAGCCCCCATCCAAGGGCTCCCTACAGGAGCCCAAACAGCTGCAAACACCGGCACAAACTTCACAACCTGCACATGCGAGGCTACAAGTCAAACAACTGCATGCACATGAGACAACAAGGCTTTGCATGGTTTTCCTGAAGCAAACGAACCTTCAGTTCACTAGCACCCCAGGCTTCCTCCGTTTGGAGGACTGCCCCTGGCTTTTTGCTGCCCTTTTGGCAGCCGCAGTCGCCTCAGCCTCCTGCAGCGGCAGGGGATCCAAGGGCCGGGCCTTGGCCCCGGCTTTTTTGACAAGCGAATACCTTCTGTAGTCGCCTGTCCGTTGAGCCTGGCGGCCTTGGCCGATTTTCACGACTTTGTCCTTCGCAGCAGTTCCCTTAGGAAAGCTTTGCCGTGCTCTAGTCTGAAAAGACCCAGCAGTAAGCACGGCATTTTGTGTTGCTTCAAAGAACAATGCCATATCATCCAAGTGGAGTTTGGGCACATCCGTGACATGGCCCGCCTCCAGGACACGGATCTCCTTTCCCATCCAGGTAACCTTCAGCACATTCTTTTCTGCTCTTGCTTCCCTGGAAGCACGGCGGGACAAGCGAGTCTTCGCTGCTTTTCTCGGAGAGCTGCCTGTTACAGACACTAGAGCAGCCTCGCTGTCTTCCCCGCCGAAAAGGCCAGAGCTCTGTTCTTTCAGTTTCTCTGCCTGCCGCTTGGACTGCTGCTCCTTGGAGGCATCGTTTCGGGAGCCCACGAGCGATAGATAAACATCGCTCTGGGACAACGATGACTTTGCCGGGTATTTTGGCAGTTTTATGCTATGCTGCTTAGAAAGCAGCTTGCACAAGCCCTGGCTCCATGGACGAAGTACCACAAACGGACCATGGTCCGTTGGTTCTAGCTCCTTGTCACCCACAGTCCAGCTGGCACCATCCAGCTTCAGGACATATACTCTTTCGATTACCAGCGGCATTGTACCTATATTAGCCTTGAGCCGAACTTTATGGAAAGATCAACAACACGTGCCTGCAAACCATCCTTGAATTCACACTTGCAAAAGCGCCAAAAAGTTCCATTGCAGACATCAACCTTGGCTCCTTTTCCCGGAAAACTCAGCAAGCGAGAACTGTCGAGTAACTCAAGAAGCCTTTCGCTTTCGCGAGGCAGCGGATCCTTGATCCAGCTCTTGGGCCGAGGCCCTCAAACTTTCGGCAGGCTTCGGCCTGTACAGGATGCACTCCTTCAGCGAAGCAGTGTTCTTCAAAATGGGAATCTTCCAGCCCTTCTCGTTCAGAAGGACTGTCGCCAGATTCGGCTCTGAGCCGACCGGGATCTGCCAGAAGGCAGATAGCAAACTTCCGGCTGCAGCCGGGGGTGAAATATACAAGCTTGTGCCCGAGGCCGAATGCCAAACCTCCACACTGCCAGCTGCCGGCTTTAAGCCAACCTTTGAAATCTGATCCGTGAAGGGGAAGATCGTCAGCTTGCCTGTCTTGGCTTTGCCCTCCAACAGACAGCACGTGGGATTCTTCAAAAAGGTCAACTCCTCTTCACAGTGCGAGTACTTCAGGAAATACTCGCAGCAGAGCTCGAAGAACTCTCCTCGGAGTCTCTCTTGGCTGCAAGCCTCCGTATTATGGGGCAGTCGGTCCACAGAGTCAGACACCACTTCGGGTGCATCTCCGCTATACAGATCGAAAAATTTCTTGAGCTCGCTCAGAGGCACCTCGACCTTCTTGTCCCAGCTCACTGGGCAAGACAGCGAGAAAGAGCCGTGGCTCTGGCCGATTTTCTCCAGCTTCCAAGGCCAGATGTCCTGATACTTCTGCTTGCCTTTGTACAGGTTCCCCTCTGCGAAGCCTTGCAGCTTCATCAGGAAGGCCGGGTCCTGCATGTTCTCCAAGGTCGCAGGGGCCGCATCAGACGGCCCATCTTTTGTAGCAGCAGCCGGTGTTGCACCGGCACTCTTGCCACCCATCTCGTGTTCGTACAAAGTCAGCAAATTGGCCAATGACCCGTGCTCAAGGCCTTCTTGCCCCGACTTCTCTTTCTTGCACATGAAGAGGGTGCTGCGAACCATCAGGCGACCGAAGCACTCAACTGCCTTGGCACGTGCACTTGCATCCGTCACATTCTGAGTGTGAGCCCAGGCACGAGCAAGAAGCTCCTCCCAATCCTTTACAGCATCTTCCATGCCTTTCGCACAGAGCCTGCTGACATCGCTCTTGCTCAGCAGCCGAGCCACACCGTCTACCACTTTTGTGGCTGTCAGGTTCGTCGCGATCATCGCAGCCCTTGCGAAAGCATGCGATCGCTCCTGCCCTGCAAACCGGAGGCCGGCGACCGTGGACATGAATTCCTCTCCCAATCTTTTGCTTGCCCCATATTTCAAGGAAAAGTCGTGCAAAAACTTCAGCAGAGGTGCTTCGGTTCCTCCTGCATAGAATCTGCAGAACAACCCGCAAGCGGCCACGGTCTGTGGCGAGGCATCCGGCACCGTGGCTGCTACATCAGCTTGCACAACATCCCAGTCGATGCACAAACCTTGCTCTGCCAGCAACTTTGCTCGGGTCACCATCGCCATGGCGAGCTCCAGCTCGCCTGCCGTTCTTGCAACTCCTTGGGCTGCATTCATGACTTCCTGAACGAAGGAGGCCAGCGAGGGCAGTACTGCATCAACTTCCGCTGACAGCACCAGCCACTCCCATCCATTATCCACGGCCTGCCGAAAGTCCGTAGACAATCGCTGCAACGTGAGCTTGCCGTTGTCCGACACCGTCTCTTGGTCCGAGGGACATGCTGCAATGCAGGCACGGCAAAATGCCGTAAAGTGACTGCATGCTAACGACATGTATCGCTCATCGCCTCGCACCTCAGCTAGCAGCCCTCCATTCATATCCACTTGCCGCTTGTTGAAACTAAAGGCCTTTTGGCTCAGAGCTCTATCCGTGGATATTTCCATGCAAACACTTCGCTTCAGCTCCATGGAGCTGAAGCCTACAGATTGCACTTGGGCCCCTGTCTTGTGAACTTGGGCTCCATTCAATCCTAACCCTGAGCGATTCGACGGGTGCACCAGGACTTGACCCGGCCGCAGCACCTGCCTGTAGCACTTCCTGCTCTCCTGCAGGATAGTTTCGATCTCCGTCCATCTCTCCAATGCCGGAGCATCTTTCTTCAATGCCTGCTCCACGGCCGTAGCCCAGGCAGGCTTCATCTTTTCCAAGTTCTCTTGAAAAAAACGGCTGCATGGCAACAGGATATGCATTTAATTGTCCGCCCTGCCCCCCCCCCTGTATACATGCACCCTTGAAACACAAGTCATTTACGTGCCTAACATAGTCATTTCCCTATATAAGAACTGTACTTCAAAAAGTTATGTTAACTTAGCTAAACTTTAGCTAAACCCCCTAACCTTTGTAAATGTTTAACATACTTACACCACTTATGTAAACACTTAGCTAAGTCTCTTAACAGTTGTATTTGTTTATCACACTTATAAGTGATTTGCAATATAGATACAACCGGGTTGCAAGCTATTTAACAACATGCTTGCAATCTATATAAACACTTACAAAGCCACGGTTCTTCCCAGTAAGTTGACTGCCGCTGGGCGTGAGCAAATGCGACGCAAACTGGAAAAGGATTACACCTCCTGTGTTGTGACCCGCGAGACACTTCCCACCCTCTGCTTTCTTCAGTCCATCCACCAGCAAGCAGGCGACAAGTTCTTCGAGTGGCTGCCGTGGAGGCGCATTCTCAGCGAGGAACAGCTGTTGGAGGTCAAGGCCCGCCGGAGCAAGCAGCCTACCCCCGATGGCTCGGCGCCAGATGAGTGGGACATGGAGCTAGCCGGTGCAGCATTGCGCGTCCAGCAGACTCTGGAAACAAGGGCGCATGCATTCGCAATGGTTTCAGCCTGTCACCTCCATTCCTGGGTTGTGTACACGAAGAAATTTATGGCCCTATATGCTCGCAAGCCTTCTGACATGTTTCGGGCCCCCACAGTACAAGAAGCCGAAGCGGCAGATCGCCTTGTGCTCGAAGAGGTGTTTCAGTTATGCTTCTCGGGACACACGCTCGATGACGCCTTGACGAACATCGTTGTGGACAGGGATATGCTTCGCCATGTACTTGTTGAGCGGCCAAAGGTCTTGAAGGCAGAAAGGGAAAAGGCCCAAGTGCCCCCCCCGCCAACGCCGTCCGGCCTTCCGCCTCTGCCCCGGAAAGCAGAGGGCAAGCGCCAACTTGGCAGCGCTGCCTTGGGGCGCCAGAAGCGTGTGCGCAATGGCGAGTGTTGGCTCTGGGTTGAAGGAAGGTGCGCGAATCGGAACTGCCGTTTCAAGCACGCATGCGCCGTGTGCGGGGACAAATCGCACCATGCCGCAGAGTGCCCGCAGCAGCAGTCGCGTTGACACAGTACGCCGCCTGGTTTGGCCGGCCCCGCCCCTCCAAGCAGGGAATCG